TTTTAGATGCTAAAAGTAAATGCTCAAAAGCAATGAATTCAAATTTAAGTATTAAACTGTAGATAAAATCATGCTTTAGAGCGAAAGCCTGCATGTCTAAAGATGAATGAGGGGGAATTTAGAATGAATGTGTTTTGTAGGGTTCTCCACCTACACTTGAATTTTAAGAATGTTAAAATAGCTCATCGAGTTGTAGAATGTCGAGTAAGGTGTGTCTATTTGGTCGTTGAATTCTAACAAATCATTGTGGTTAGGGGAAGTGTTGTAATACTAAAACACGAATATTCCCGTTTGACACCACACATGGTGGAGAGCCAGGGTAAAGTTAAATTCATGTTTGAATACTTGAATGAATGTGAATTAAGCAGTAATTAAGGAAAATAAAACGATCAAAAACAAAAACTTTATTCAGTGTCAAGAAAGTGTAAATTATAATGTATTTAGAAAGATACTGATACTTATTCCTTCCAGATGCTGGAAGGAAGAGAAAAAGATTGATTGCTGAAGTCCAGGAAAGGTTGCTGTAAGAAGAGATGGTAAATTAATGTATCTACAGAAATTTATTCTAATTTTTGAGAATAACAGTTTTTTTTATGTAAACGAGGCTCTTAAAGTTTTAGATCAGAATTGTGGAAACTTTTCAACAGGTCGTTTCTAGGACCTGCTTCCAAGTTTTCCAAATTCTGGCAGCGGCAAATGTAGGGTTTATATTTATTTTAACTAACATTTATTTTAAGTTTAAACTATCTTTCCTGTCAAGCCTTACTTTCCCCTGGAATTGCCAATGCCAGAGTATGTAAATTTTAGTAGAACGCGCAAGGATTCAAATTTTCAGCGGAAGTAATTTGAGTTAAATAGAAGGGAAACGAGTTCGTAAGTGTGCTTCTTGAATCACGAGCGTGAGGTTGCTAGTAGAAATTTAAGAACCGCGCGTTTCGGCCTGTGTGCCTACTTCGGCAGTTAGTTGAATCTTTCAACTTCTTATTCAGAAAGTTTGCTGAATATCAGCTGTATCTTAGAACGCGGTTAAGTTAGTTACAATTATAGAGCCTCGTAGTAGTGACTTCATTAGTTATTCGTCCTGTCATTAATTTTTAGTCGTACTTTTCTATTTTTGTTTAACCGCCGGGTCGGCGTAATTTGTGAGCGTCAAATGAAAGCAACTGTGACTTCTAAAGTGAAACAAAAAGGGAGTTAAACCCTTCTTACGAGTTTGTGTAATTTCCAGTTCATATCAGTCACTACTACTGTTGCGGACAAGTTGGGGCCACGCAATAACACAATATTATTATGCACAAAAATATGAATTTGAAATTTTATTAATTCTCATTAGCTCATGCTAGATTGTTTAAAAAAATCTCTTACACATAGAATCTAAATCTAAAACTGAGAATCTGGAATCTAGTAACTGAACTTAAACTTAAATAAATTCAGTATATTTATAATTAAAGTGCATATTCTTCTCTGGGACTTTTCACTCCATCTCATTTTAGTTCCAAAAATGCAAGCTAATTAAGCTGTTTGAAAACAATAATCAAACACCCTTAAATTCCCACGTACCCTTAAATTCTGGCAATACTTCAAGACACCAGAGAAAAATTATCAACACATAACAAATAAATCACATGTTCTTTAAAATTACAAACTCAAAAATTAAATCTGACCAAACATTAAAGTATCAGTAATAAAGTACAGTAAAGTTCAAGTAATAAATAGTATCCAAAACTTACTACGCTTATAAGTACCAGTAACCATACTATACGTACTCAGGTTCTTTCATAGAGCTTATGGATTTTTTGAAGGAATTATTCATGGGGTGACTTGATAGGAATTATTAGCAGCAATTAAATGTTATCCTAATTTTCTGCTGCAAACTTAGCAGAAATTATTTCATCATTACTTGAGGTTTATTTAATTAATTATTTAAGATCCAAATTGCGCTCAGGCAAGTAATCAGCAAAATTCAACTTTTAAATCTTGTCAATTAATTTATTTCTTTAAATTTAACATAAATAAGCTCTTTAATTTTAAAACCCAATCAGTGGTTCATATGCATTAGTAACAAAGCTTTTTAATGGAAAGAAATTGTGCGAGTTTACTATTTTTAAGTGATATCTGTAATTAAAAATATAATTAATTAATTTATCGAGCTGCAATTTATACACACTATGAAAACATTTTTGGTGAACTTGGAATTTTAAGTGAATTAACCAAGGAATTGTTTACATTAAAGTATTAAGACATTATCTCTGGATTTCATACGGTCATTATTTTTAGACACATTTGAAAACTGTTTCATTGCAAAGGGCGCATGCAAATATTTGGGAATCTTCCTTTTCAGTGGTGAAAATTTTTGTTGGGAAGCACTAAAGCTAGATTCCTCCAGACATTTTATTGGCCATTTTAAATGTTTTGTGGCAACTGAAATGTCTTGCCACTGATGAAAATGTAGTCTGGCCTTTCCTGGTAATCAGGCCAGCACATGGATGACCTTACCAAATACTTCAACACCACTTATTTGGGTGGAGTCAATAAACCATACCATGCTGGCTATGCACGACCTTTTCCTAGCTTGCTTTATGTGAATAAGTCTCTGATCATCATTATCCGACTGAGAAAGCTTCAATTTCCACAGACTGAGTCACCCGTCAACCACCGAGCATAAAAATGCTTTCTTAGAGTTTTTTCCTATCTACATTTTACCATAATGACATGAGATGAATTTGGAAAAGGAAAAAAAAGAGGACCATACCGTATGACTAAGATGTTCCAGCTGCAGTGATTCAAGGAATTTAAAAGATAAATAACTTCCAAAATTTATATAGCTTCGTTTTCTTCATCTTATTATTGTATTCTGTGCACTATCATTATATGAAAAGCAGTAAGCTAATTCAGAAAACTTAAGTATATGTAAGTCTTAAAAATTTCAAATAGTATTAATGTGTTACTTGTATCTAGGAATAAATATGTCATATGTATTATAGTTGTGTGTAAAACCTTTATGATCTTGCATTTGAAACATTTTCAAAAGTTAATGTGAATTAGTAAAGCTACGACTCTGGAAGTTAAGGGTTGAAAATTCTTAATGGTTATAAGAGTTCAAACTTAAAATTTTAAGATAAACATGTTTTAGTACTGCAACTCTTTTTGCTCACATTAATGCTCAAGGGTTTGGGTTAATATTGTTTTGAATCTCATTCAGCAATATTGTGTCGATTTGTTTTTGTAAACACTTAATACTCTTGCTAGTGATAGTTGTTTTGAAATTTAAGATTTATTTGTTTGTTAATAATAATATAATATTGAAATCTTTCTAACTTTAACATTCATGTAACACAACAACAAAGTGATATAAACTGCAATAATATAATAAAGCATGAACAAATACAAAAATGTATAAATAAAAATGTATGTAAAGTGTATGTATAAGTATGTCCACATTTACAGTATTAAAATTGAGACCGTGCCAAATATTCTGCTTCTTCGTGTTTTGATCCAGATTTGCAAGACGTTTTGATGAAGGAACCAAGATGAATTCTATGATTTGGCAATGAAGATTCTAGCATTAATTTTTTTTTTTTCAGGGAAAAAGATATCTATTGCAAAAGTTTTTATTTAACTAACAATATGAAATTACAATTTAATATTAATACAGCAGCAAACAGCTAACAACCATGCCAGGAGAAGAAATGACTGTAAACTCAAAAGAGAATATAGCACAGGACTAACACTGTAACTGACAGTTGCTCTGCTGGCACAGGTTCGACAAAGCAGCTCAGAAACTGGATTCGACTCTTATGTAGGTTTCAGTCCTATGCAAGTACTATGAAAATAGTAATTTAATCAGTTTCTTTCCCTCTTGATTATGTTATGTTCTAATTATAAGCCTTAGGTACATCATGAAATGTCCATTGCATTGTTGTTCCTATTCCATGTAATGTTCTATCAGTATCAATCATACACCTGTGACAAATCTGTGAAGGTGACAAGCACGCATCAATCCTCTTATTTATTATTATATCTTAATTATTATATCTAACATTTATCTTACATTTGTCAGTCATATACTGATAACTACTGATGGTTGTGAGCTGGCGTTAGTTCTACACGATGTCAGTCCTCAGCAGTGTGGGTCCTAAGCAGTGTCGATTCTACACAGTAACCAGTCTCACTACACATCAGCTAGTACAATTCCTCACATTATGTGCTATGTTGAGATTAAAGAAAATGATTAGCTTCTCCTCCTCAAAAAGGCTGAGGCGGTCTCTCTTCAGGGCTGAGTAAAAAGTGTCACTAGTGAGAAAAAAAAGCCTTTAGGGCACACCACATCCTAGGGAAATGAATCTTACAGCCTTTTATCAGACAAAGTGGGATGACAATAATATATTAAGTATGGTGGTAACTAGCATTGGCTGCATACCAATGTCAGTTTTATGCAGTGTTGGTCCCACACAGTGTCGATCCTATGCAGTGTTGGTTCTATGAATGTAACCCATCCAAAACTAGTTTACTGGAATTAATCATTTCATGGAACTCTAATATTTTTCTCAACTTTTCATACATGATCATACCTTCAAACAGATAATGTATCAAATTTTGCACCGATTTCTGTTAATGCACACAATTCTCTTAATGAAAAAATACTGAATTTTTAAAATTGACATGCTTAGAAGGTATAAATATTGTAGTATTACTATGGCTAACATAAAAAGTATAAAAGTTGTAGCATCAAACAAAAGAGATACAAAGAATACTGATACAAGGATACACATATACAGCATAAATTTACTTTTATTATGTTACATGCAGAGGAAAATGACAAATATATATTAGGTTTTAATACTATACAACAATGATGGCACAAAAAAAGTAAATAAAATATTTATTTTGTGAAAGAAAATACTAATTCAAAATTAAAGTATATACTTATAAGTTAGCTAGTTAATTTTATAAACTGGGTAGCAACAACAAGCAGATTAATTAATATTAATAATTATTACCTGAGCCACATATTCAGGTTTTATCTTCCTAGACACAGTTGTATATTTCAAAGCCTTCTGCAAAAACTTGATGGCAATAGAGTAGCAATTTCTTCTACGCCCAAAATATTTCTAATAAATATAAAAATAAGTTATACTATATAATTGCACAAAAAGAGCATTTTAGATCATATAACTAAATGCATAATTACTGTATGGATATGCTGTTTTATTTTCTATCATCCTAACTTCAGTTTCATTAAGAATATTATATTTATCAGATATAAGATTTTGTAAATAAGTAGTTCTTTAGACTTATGCAAATATACATTTCTTGATAATACACTGAGTAATGCAATGATTTATATGTCTCCTTTCTGATATTTCACAACTACTTTCTTTTTCATTGTTTTTAATGAGTCTTATAACTGATACAGCTTCAGCTTTAAAACTGACTCCAATTACTTTAGTAGGTGCAAATTTCAACTATATTAATATAAACATATGTAAATTTTGATTGAGTTAATCATCATCAAAGTTTCATTACACTTATTCTGATTTTCTTATTCTTTAGAGCAGGGTTTCTTAAACTGTCGGTCGTGACAGCAGGGAGGTCGCCAAAAATTTTAGCAGTTTTGATATTTCTTTAACTTATTATAATAATTTGACAATTACCAAATATTTTTACACAATATATCTGAAAAAAGATAAAGACAATACAGGGAAAGAAAAAAAAAAAAAAAAAGGAAATGTTTCAATGCATTTTTTTTTATAATAAAAATGTTCATTTTCTTTGCTTTGCACGTGACGCTGTCATTTCGTCTGTTACTTATTCAAAATGTTCACATTGTTCTATGTCTTAAAATTATAAATTTAAGTTAATGACTAAAACTGCAATAGTATATTACAGTACAAGTGAAAAAATTGACAGTTTCAATCACACATGTGTTGGATTTGAGGAATACTTATGGGGTTCCACAAAATTTTTTTAAATATTATGTGGTCCTGGGGGGTCGTGGAAAAATCTCAGTGATAAAAGAGGGTTGCAACTTCAAAAAATTTAAGAAACCCCGCCTTAAAGTTTTTATTTATTTATTTATTTTTTTTTTAGGATTATTTGATATCTACAAAGACCAAGATTGAGATTTGTCAGGACTTTGGTGATTCTGCATTTTAGACCATCATTATACATCTAAAAAGATTTCATATAAAATTAAAAATATGAAATATTTGTTTATGAAAAGGAAGCATTTATGATCTTAAAGGAAACAAAAGTTAATATTTATTTGTTTGCTTTACTAAACATTTCTTTCAGTGCAAGTTGTTTACATTATTTCACATTTCTTGTTCAGTCACAAAAGTCCATTCAAGTGCTGTAACTGCCAAACCAAGAATTACCACAAAATATTCAATCAAAATGTTTTCATTCTCAGAAATATCTTTGTCACTTTCTTCACTACCAATAGTGATACAATGGAATCTCGTGATATGAGCACCTCTGTATACGAGATACAAGGAAAGTATAAGCATAAAAGTCATCTCTAAATACAAGCACTGACTCGAGTGATGAGCAATGAGTCAGGATGTTGGTAAGCATGGCATCATTTCACGATCTGGCTCTATTCAGGCCCCTTGTCAGATCACTCAGTGTTCTTTGATCTAGGTCTTTGTGCATTTGTGAGCTGATTGTTTTTTACATTTAACGTGGAAATAATTATTTCACGATGCCTCCCAAGAAGATTGCTGCAAAGAAAAAAGAAGGAAGCCACGAATTAGTTGAAGTCACTGAAATTAACCGCTTGCCTGATTATCCCAAGTTATCTCGGGTTTGTATATATCACAGTTAATTATTATCCTGAGAAAACTTGGGCAAAGCAGAATTTGTTAGTACGATTTCTTTTATCACGGTTTTACTCGGTGTGGAGGAAATGAAAGGAAATATTTAGCTTTGATTGGCAGTTTGCCAAATTTTGTTGGTTGCGCGGTTCTTTTAGAAGGACTGGTGGTGTTTGATGTATTTAATTATGGCAAAGCACACTAGGGCTACCTGCCTAAGAGGAGAGATGCCTTTTGTGGAGGACTTTCTAAGGGAAACTGGCTCGTATACACGTTACACATGGGGAAAACCACAAAAACACCCATGCAGCCAGCCCGTTTGCGGGATTCGAACCTCGGACCGAACTACCAGTGTTCAGCCGCTCGGCCGCTGGAAGAACTGGTCACGTGTTTCCCTATTGTATGGTATACGTTGGCTTGTGGATTAGCAATGTATAAAGAAGGATGCATGCGTTGAAAAAAAATAAAATAATGGCGATGATGGAAGATAGCGAAAGCGATGATTTTTCAGATAGTGATTATGAAAAGGTGTGGGGGGGGATCAAATCCAACGAGACAGTGTACTCTGTGCTCCCGTGAAAGAGATTCCAGCGATAAGCCAGTAAGAAAAGAGACCAGATACCAGTGTAGAATGTCAGGTATCAGTGTTGCCCCTTGTTTCAAAAACTATCATACAAAGATTAATATTTAACTTTTTTTCGTTTGCCCGAGATAACTCGGGATAGTAAACTAATATTAAGAATAAATGCTTTTCACCTTCAAAAAATTAAAAATTCAACTTAAAACCTACATATTTTGATTTGTTTCGTTTTGTTGTATTTAATAATAAAATTAAAAAATGTGATGATTTTTTGCATTTTTTTTCAAAAAAATTTGTAAGAGAGGGGTTAAGAAAGCCATTGAATTAAAAAATAAATCATAGATAAATAGAAGCGTGGTGTAAGAGTGACAGAATTGCTGAAGACTTATGGCTGTTTGACATCGACAATCTGCACTGTTCTGAAGAAGAGGGAAGAAATTAAGAAACTTGATGTGGCCAAAGGAGTTACCGTTACTTCCAAGCACTGTCCAAAACTCCTAGAAGATGTCGAGAAGCTGTTGTTAGTGTGGATTAAAGAGAAGCAGTTAAAAGGCGATTTGGTGTTAGAAGCTATGTTTTGCGCTAAGGCTAAGAATCTGTACTTGGACCTTTTCCAAAAAACAACAGGTATGTCGACTGAAGATGAGATGGCATCTAAGGCAAGCCGTGGATGGTTCGAAAAATTTAAAAAAAGAACCAGTGTTCACAGTGTTGTGCACTTGAGAGGCTGTGAGCTCTAATACAACCGCGGCTGATAAATTTTAGCCAGAGTTTCTACAATCCCTGGCGTAGCTAGGGTAGGGCAAGGAGGGGCATCTGTCCCCAGGCACATTATCCAGGGGCATCAAACTGATGTTATGAAATTTTAGAATGAAACTTTTTTCATTCTTGGCACACAGAAAGGGGCGCAAGATCTTCAGCTGTTTCCGGGCACTGAAAAACCAAGATACACCTCTACCTACAATATATTACTAGTGAGGGCTTTCTTCCCCAGCAAGTATTTAATTGTGATGAAACAGGTCTTTTTAAGAGGACATATATCATGCAAGAGGAGAAATTTTCGCCTGGCCACAAATCAAAGAAAGATAGGGTTACCCTCTTGTTTTGCACCAGTGCAAAAGGAGATTCTAAAATAAAGCTGCTGTTCATCTACCAATTCAAAAATTGAGTTTTCAAGAGTGGGAAGGTGCAGAAAAACCAAAAACCAGCTGAATGTGATTTATTTTCTTTTCTTTATCATTCTTTCACTTGAGTAAATATTATTGGGGCACAAATTTGCCAGATCTACAAAAACTACACTAGCTAATGAATACATATACAAAAGTTCAATCTTGATCCATCAGCTAAAAAAAAAAAGATAAATCGTAGAATTGAAAATAACCACTGAAGTAGGTAGTTCCTAACTAAAAGTATGCTTATTTGCAGAACTTTAGATAAATCACCATAATGCTGGTGTTAAACATGCGGTCGACCTCAGCATAAGGTGACAATAGCTTTTGAACAATTGAAGATTCATGACTGCATCCAGTTTCTTAATTCACAGTTGTATCTATAAAGTTTTAACCTCAAGTCTTGAAGAATTTTTGTCAGCTTCAGAAATTATGTAGTTAAATTTGCTATGTAGTATTCATTTAAGTTGTTCAGCAAAGAAAACAGCAGCATTGCATTAAAGTAAGTGAGCAAAAATCATGGCGATGGAAGAACCCCACACTCCAAGCAGCAGATGATAAGCAAAACCGGTTGGGAAAGTCTCTTGGTTGCTTGTCTTGAATCGATGATGATTCTAAATGATATGAAATGCAAAGTGCAGTCTTGCATGCACACCTGCACCTGATTGAAATTGATTTGCTGGAGGAATTTCAGTTCATAAAAGTCATGTTTCTTCCTCCCAATACCACTCCACTTTTCCAGCCTATGGACAGTAGAACTTACAATGGACAAAATTAAAGAACTTCACAAGGAGCAGCAGCAAGAGGTAGTAAACGAACTGTCATTAGGGGAGGAGGGAACAGGAGATGAGGCTGTCTATTACAATAAGATTAAAGAAGTTTTGGCAAAGTGGAAAGAAGTGAAAACTTCCTTTGAAGAAAATCACACTAGCAAAGCAGTGTGTGGGTGCACCACGAACTTGTGTAATGACAATGTAGTGTCACATTTCAGAAATATCTTAAAAAGGAGACAGAAGCAGGTATTACAATACAAAGTCTCTAATCCGGACGTCCATTATCTGGAATGATCTATAATCCAGATCTCAAAACCCCACACTTACGCATGCGCGTAAAGCGTTTATGTATGCCATTTGATGTGCACATGCATGTAAAGCCAGTAAAGCGTTTACCCATGTGCGCTTCCGATAGTGAAGAAAGTAACAGAGAACATTATTGAAAATGAAAAAATTTTGATTGACAAGTTAGTCGGTATTCTCGACACAGCAATTACAGGACTTGAACAGTGGAACTTTGTAATTGAACAAGAAATTATGCCTGTTTATAGAATTAAAGAGAAAGTATTAGCACAAAAAACAAAGCAACTTAACAACTTACATTGATAGAAATGTTTACTAAAATAAACAAATAAATATTTAGCTTTTTTTTTTTTTTTTTTGTAAATTTTGATACCCTTTAGATCATAATTGCTCTTTATTTCATAAATTATGGTTTCATATTTTTAATTGTATAATTTCTGCATGCCATCTTACCAGATTTAAATTGATGAT